TTCAAGGCCAGGTTGGATGAGGCTTTGAGCAACCTGGTCTAGTGAAAGATGCCCCTGCCCATGACAGGGGATTGGAACTAGATGATCTTTAAGGTCCCTTCCAACCCAAACCTCCTGTGGTTCTATGGTTTGCCAGAAAATTCAGTCCCAGCCCTTTGCTGGATGCTGTTAACTAGTCTCTGTGCTGTCCTCCAAACACTTAAAGCCCATTCTATCTTGTGTGGCTTTCTCTGGATGCAAATATGTTTGCCGTGATTGCTTCTGCGGGGAGGTCTGTGAGATGCATGGGCTGCAGGGAGCAAGCAGCAGGGCTTTTATTTCTTCTCTGTGTCTCACAATTCAGCGCACACAGGCTGTGAGCTCTGGGAGCACCATGGGCCTCCAGGCACGAGGAACAGCATTTTAAAGCTTCTTCTTTCTTTTTACCCTTCACTGAGTGTTACTCAGCATGCATTTCCACAGCCCTTTTGCCATGCTGTTAGCCCAGCAATCAGTTTCCCCCCTCACTGAGCTCAGTGGGAGCTGATACAGAAGTTATTAGTCTGAAAATTAACCCTGTCAAGATGAAGAGCTGGCACAGCACCAGTACAACCACCATGTCTCACACAACAGTGGTCCCCGTCACAAGTCTGCCTCAGTTTTCCCACTGTGTAGCCCCACACCTCGCTAGAGCTGGCTCCTACTTAGTTGGAAGTTGGGTCTGTTTAAAGCATGGGCAGGCTTAGGTGCTGCTCCCGGCCTAGCAGGAGGGAGGTCAAATGTCCATGTGCTCTTAATGGGTGCAGTTGTGGGGATGCCTCAGGTAAACTTGAACATGGAGGTTGACAAGTTCACTTGAGAAATAGTAAACAACAACCCGTTAATCACCTTGTATTGCTTATTTTGAAATTTGGTTTGCATAAGCTGGCTGTTTTCACTGCTGATTCATCTGTGATGAAAGCATCAAGCAGAGAAGTACAGCTTTTGGTAGGTGGAGAGAATATAGATCTCCAGATGCCTTGGCATCTGGTGAGATGTATGTAGCATTTTGGGACTGTCCTGGAAATACAGTAACCAGACATTTTAATTAAAAAGAGAATTACACTCACATTTTTTTCTCTTATACTGCATGGATTCAAGCCAACAGGTGTTTTTATTGTAAATCTGAGGGCCAGAATTTATTAAAAGCTTCGCTTTCAAATAATAAACCTGCAATAGTAGATGAATTCCACAGCAAATTGTTCCATGTGGAGCTGGAGGATAAATCAGGCCCTTTTCATTCAGTCAACTCACTTCTTGATTTCCATCAGGTTTAGGATGGATGGCACGTTGTGTGACCTGAAGCAATCCCGGGAATGCCTGTCTCCAGTAGCAAATCCCCCAAACATTCACGAAACCCGCACGAGGAGGCTCATAGCCTCCCTGCAAAAGGAAGTCATTAATTCAATATTTCTTTCCAGTCTCAAACCACTGTTTCTTGGATCCAAGTCTCACCCAGACCAACGTGGGAAATGATGCCATCACTATCACCAGAGAAGGTATGTTGCAAAATCCCCAGGGTAGTTTTTATTTAAAATGTTACTATCATAAAATTCCAGACTATGAAACGAAGACCTCACATTTCCATTCCAACTTTACCCACCCCCACTTTTTTAAATATATAGGTACGTAGTCACAAAACATAAAACATGCTGCAACGATACAAATATATTTTTTTTTGATACAGAAACTACAGTACATTATAAACCATGAAAACAAATTGAGGCACTAGACTGTGTACATCAGCTCGGCTGTGAAGCTGATAGACTCACTTTCAATGAACAAAAGAATATTTTCTTTGTTTAGTGAACATAACTTTATGGGTCATATCAAACAATGTGCTTTGTTGTGAGACATCACCAGGGTTGCTGGTCCTTTCAGAACCACAACGCACCTACACAACATGTATCACTGCCACAATATGAAAAATAATCATTTTATTAAATGTACAACTCAAAAAAACCCCAAATATCAGTTATTAGTAAATAAATAATTATTCCATACAGTGGTTAGTTTATATTACACTGCATTGGCCATTGGAACAAACGAAGTTTAATAAATAATGCATGGGAATGTCTCATTTACGCCTCCGTTCGTAGTTCTGTGCTATGCTCCTTTCAGAGGATCCTGCAAAAGATGGAGCAGAATGAAGCGCATGGTGCAGCCTTGCATGAGCCCCAGCAAGCACAAGGAAACATCAGAGACCCGCAGCCTGCTTGTTCAGACCAAGACGAGGCTCCCTGCCGAACCCTGAGCTGCTTTGATTTGGTTTTACCCTTCAGACTACACTGTCCTCCAAGAGGCTGGAGGTCGGAGCAGTGCTTTCCACCTCTCATCGGTCGAGCTGCTTGAAGCACCGTTATCTCAGAGCCTCTTTACCCCCCCAGGAATCCATCTAACTGATGGGATCTGAGCACTCAGATCAATTTGTGGGTAGAGGCTGTCTCCACCGACACTGGCACCCTCTGTCCTGCACAGTCAGCTCTTCGCCAGGTTTAAACCCTCCCTGTCCCCAGCCTTGCACACCAGTGATACCTTCTACTAAAACCTGCAGCAGGAGCTAAGCAAACTTCAGGCTGCTCTGTGGACTAACTGCAGCCTGAAATAGTCTTCAGTAACATATTTACCATTTAGTACCGGTAGATCTCTCCTTCTCGCTCTTTTAAAATGAGAGGGAAACCCAGAGAGCCCTTCTTGAGCAGAGCCATCAGGTGACATAGCTGGTCACCAGAGTCATCTTCACTTCCACCCCGAAGGGAGGATTGCTTTCACAGAGCATACGCATGCCTGACTACTGCATGCAAATGCACACCTAGTTAGGGGAGATTCAGCACTGTGTCCTGCAGGGAGCCAGCATTTTGGATCAGTGACAGTTTTAAATTAATTAGCTTCAATTTTCACCAGGCTAAATGCCAAATGAGTTGAGCTTGCTTTCTCAATATGGCCTGTTACAGTATCTCCACTGTATGGGTGACTGTTTTCTAGCCTCTCCCTGGAGCGTTTGTCCAACAGACCTCACAGCTTAGGAGGCAGCCGGTGCCAGACCCCATTTTGCCAAACCAGGGATGGAGACACCAGCACCCCGGTACTCTGCTTTGTCACACAGGGCTGTAAAACTGCTCCTACACCCAGCAGCAGGGCAGTGTAAACTCCCACACATCGCCAGGGGACTCAGGGGCTTTCTGCAGAAGAAAACCACAGCACCAAGGCACGGCACCAAGAAAAGGTCCTGCCCAGTTAAATATCTTTCAGTAGGGAGAAGTAAAGGCAGCCCTAGCACATACCCCTGATCTTGCTTTGATTACAGTCCTTAGGACCTATCTTCTCCAGATGAGCATAATCAACTTCTTGCCATTTTCCTCTCAAGGAATCCAGCAGAAAAGCAGTGAATTCTAGTTTTACCTGTCAGGCAGGTATTACATAGCCCAGCAGGGTAAAACTTCATTATTGCTGTTTGTTACAAATGCTCCATAACAGTACACTGACTATACCAGCAATTTTGAAATTAGGGCAATCAGATCTTTGTCTTTTTTAAACATTTGCTGTATTTTACATTCTCATATTGATATAAATGTAATCCCAATGGAATCCAAACCCAATTTATTACTTCCAGGCTATTTACTTTTGTGATAGCAGGTATATTTACAGGTATTATGCATTTAATAGCTATTGCCACCACAGATAAAACGGTACAAAATTGTTCATGATACATAGCAATTTGCAAAATGATGCAGAGAGCAGTATTACTAGTCTGAACAGGGTTTAATTGAAAATAAAAGTTACTGACAACCATAATTGCAGAATATAGATCACAGCATGTATCCATATAATATAAAGGTGTCAGCTAGTAATTTAACTTTTATCATCCATTTAACAAAACAGCGAGAACTATTTCTGAGGCATGAAATAAGCATTAGGATTTTTTTATTTTTTTAATTCCTATTCTGGGGAATTAACTGACACTTTATGGTTCACAGTGAGGGATTTCCTCATTGCAGCCCTATATAGAACAACGCAGGGGTGGTGCACATGAGGGAGGAGGATGCTATGGGAAAATAACAAAAATTTCAGTGTCAGCTCAAGCATTTTTTTATGGGGGGTGGGGAGGGTTAAAGGAAAAGCTGGAAAAGGCTGGGTATGTTTAACAGCTTCACCTGCAGAAAGAGGTGGTGTTAAGGGCAGATCTCTGCTCTTTCACCTCTTGCTCAAGGAATAGCAATCTGCAGAGACAATGAGGGTATCCCTATCTCTGAGGAGATTTGGACCACAAGTTTAAATGAGCTTTACATTTTCAGCCTGTGAATTTTTCTTGATGTTTCAGGAAAAATTATCTTTCCTTTTTTTTTTTTGTTTATTAGCACTTTGGTGACCAGCAGAACATGGTGCTGTTGAGGACAGGGGCAGTAAGGAAAGTGCCCTAGGGACTTCCACCTGACCTTGCCTGTGCTATGGTAGCTCAGACCAGCCTGATCATCTCAAGCATTAGAGGGAAGCCGACCCTGAAATATCTTGGTTAAGAAAGAAAATCCTGATCCTTTTTCACAGAATTTGGGGTCTATGCTAAAGACTGCTTCTTCCACCTGCTGGGAGAGAACAGAGAGGAAACAGAATGAAGAGGCTGTATATTACCAAGCACCAGATTTAGTCATATACATACCAGAATTTAAAGATCTTTTGCCCATAAGTCCAACAAAGGAGTCTGTTTTATGCCCTGAAAAAAATATATTTTGGGGTGTTTTAATACATTTTCAACAGGCAGGCTTTTCAGATAATGTGTTCTCGTGAGGAAGGAAGACACAGGCTCCAAAACTGTTCATCTCACATACTCGTTGTTCATACCACTCTCAGACAATGGAGAACAAACATCAGTCTGACTAATTGAACCAAACAGGTTAGACCAAGGCACAGACTAGTTAGAGGACATCTTCTCATTAACTCAGATAGGTGTTTTGTTTTGTGGTTAAGTATAATGGAAAAACAATGGCTAATAACTGGTTATTCCTCTCCCAGTACAATTCCTACTGATTTGAGCAAAGGCACAAGGCAGCAGTATCTTGGCATAACCTGCATGTGTATGATGCACCTGTTCTACCTCAGTGGTTTTTTATGTAACATGGGAAAAAAAAAAATCTTCCTCGCAGGTCAGGCAGAGCCCTCACTGGAGAAGAAGCCAATGGGACTCTATGTCTGGACATGTCTGAGCTAGACAGTGTGGCTCTATTTTTGGAATATTTATGAGTTTGAATATTACCTTTCTGTCTCATTAGTACTCCTCAAGGCATTGGAAGTGTAGAGGATAAATTACTCCAAATTTTGGCCTACAGCACGTATCAGATATAGTGGTAGCTATAGTTTCAGATAAGGACCAAAAAGGAGCCATTCGTCTTTCTCTAAGCTGACTTCTGAGGCAAACTTAGAAATTTCTCTTTGGAAAGAGTTTTGCTTGGGTAATTCATCTACAAACCAAAACAAATAGTTCTCAGACCTCACAGGTATTAATTCAGGCTGAAGCAGTTTCAGAAAGCTATAATTTTTTTATTTAGTCATCAGGTTATTTGTCATGAGCTTGGTATCAGACTCTTTAACTGGCCTTACAATACACAATCCTAGTGATAAAATCTTGTGGCTAACAGAACACTGGGACAGCTATTGATCTCTGTGGACAGAGGAGGTCTCCCAAAATATAAAATCATTCTACTTATTAAAAGTCTTCAGGCTCCAGTCTAAACATCTTCAGATAATTTCAGAGAATAAAACTGTGCAGAACAAGGTTAACACCACACTGCTGATAGCATCTCCCGCTTGGTGTTACACAGAAGCAAAGCAAGGCACGCTTGTCCCATTTGATATGGCAGCAGACCATCGATCAGCCCCTGCTGTGAGGAGGGGTCTGATTCCCACCCAGACAACTGTGCTGAGAGCACAGATACTGTATCTCACACACGATGACATGGGCTGTCCCCTGTGGAATCATTCTAGTGGATTTGGGAATTCACTGTTCTAATATTCCAGATTTTGCCATCTTAATTGCTCCTCTCTGAGTCTGGCAGTAAGCCTGCCTTGCCTATGAGAAAGGCTTACAGAATTCCCCCCATGGGAAATAAGAGAGAGCTGCAACATCCACACATTAATGGGGATTGAAATCTCAAAGCTTGTGGTGGCTCAGATGAGATACAGGCTCAAGGCTTCACTGGGGGATTTTCAATCCTTTAACAGCACATTTCTCCACCACTGGTACTGTCAGTCCTTAGCTGAACTCAGTCACCTTCTAACCAATCCCCTCCAGTACTCGATTCCCCATTTTTGGATCTTCTAATAATTACTTAAAATATTTGCATTTTTTTAAACTTACTTTTGTGACTGATCTGGCCATATCCTGATTGGAAGAGGAAAATAAAGAGAAAAAAAGGAAAGAGTTGTTCAGAAAGGATTGGCATATACATATGACGCTACTGCAATGCTCTGAAGAATCAAATACAGAAACTACCTTACACATATTCCACTTAAGGAAGATTAAGGTGATTGTTTACAACTGCATATCTCTTTGAATAGACTGCAAAATCTTGCTTCAGCTAAACCCACACAATTTAGATCTGTTTAGCTCCAGGTTGCTTTGACCAATTCTTGATTCAGTAAACATGTAGAAACCATGGCAATAACTGTATACACAAGCAATTTCCACGCTTGTGACCAACCTGTGAATTATCATGATACTCCTTACTGGTGATTACATGTTGTAATGCGTGTGCATTTAGCACTTTGGTGTGAAGACTTTTTTCGAATCGCTGGGTTTATCTGATATCAAACTTGCAAAAAAAAAAAACCAACAACCAAAAAACCCAACCCACAACAACTCCCAACCAAACAACCCGTACTGCAACTTTTGAGAAAGATTTAATGCATTAAACCCAAGTGGCAACCGCTGTGATGTTTGGAGCGGCCCTAGGAGGAGAGGCATGCAGAGAGAGACCGAGCCCCCCGCCCGGCTCACCGGCATCCCGCTTGCCCATGAGGCCGAAGAACTGCTGGGGCCGGGGTCTGCGGGCCATCCTCTGCAGGAAGTGCTCCAGGGGCAGCGGCAGCTCCTCCTGCGGGGCGACAGCGCCGGCTCTCAGCGGGGACCCCCCGCCCGACACCCCCCCTCCAGCC